ATGTCAAGTTTTGTGTGAATAACGGTGTTCTGACTGCTGCCTCACTACATGACTCAGCGCTTCAAACAGGTTTCTCGCTAAATATCAAACTATTTAGTCTATTGATCATCTCCCTTATATTCCCTAAATGATGTTGAAAGAAAAATACATTAGCTATAGTATACACGCAGTTGTTGGACGTTGTGTCCATTGCCTCTGGTCTTTTTTTTATAGGATAAAAGTGACAAACGAGCACACAGTCCACCTGATGGTAAGTGGTTGCTGCGGCCCATAGACATCTACATCTATCCTCTATTACAAATCAAAATGTAGATGCGTTGTCACCCGTGAGGACTAAGATGGAATGCCTCATTTCCAGTAAAAAGGGCCTCCGGCCACCTGCACTCACCAAGCGAAACGCAGAGGTAAACCTCTACTTCACGCTGGTTTTCTGTGAGGTCGTGGTACCACCCCGGTTCGAGCCGGCCCATCCGTGCGACAGCAAAAGCTGCCGCGTGGCTCTACCACTGTTAAATGGTCAATTCAAAAGTTACGTATCTGTCTTCTGGTTCTACGTAGGACTGACTGAGTGCGTATCTAATACCCGACTTGATCTCTTTTTTCTTATCTTCGAATTAGGAGAATTTTATCTAATTAATAAGCTTGTTAGATTAGCGATCACAGTATGACACAGATCACACCTTAGATTATGTTTCATGTCTTTCGTCTGGATATATTATACTGGTTATTATTGAATTAGTTAAAAAAATGTCGTCACGTAAATTCCAGACCTGTATTTTATAAGCATAATAAATGATTTAGAATCAAACAAAAAATAAAAGAGGAGATGCTCGTTTTAGTAAGCTAATATTTTTTTTCGCTGATGTTTGGGAGTGGCATGGCATTCTCGTTTCTTTTTTAATTTTCAAAGTGGAATTATTAACGCTAGCTTTGTATGTCTATGAATTAATTATATTATTCTTCATCATCGCTTATTTTCCGCTACAAAATTCAAATATAGGAACGCAACTGAACTGAGCTCATGGCATTTACTTATACAAGATAAAGATAAAATAAGAATGTGACAGTTAATATGAATTACATATTTTAAAAATCCGGTTGATATTTACATAATATTTAGATGGTGTCTAAATAAGGAATTTTTGGTCTGTAATAAAGCAAATAAATATAACAATTATATTATTGCGGTTCCCAATCCATCTGCCATGGTAAATATCAACTCTATCTGGCTAATATTATTTTTATTAATAACATTGTATGATAAAAAAATATTTCTTCTTTCTCATATCGGTTCTAAAAACTCTATATAATATTCTTATAGATCTTAAGATTAAGCAACTGTTATGGAGCTTGGCGCCCGTTCAGTGTTATACTTGTTTATCGGCCAAGACTATATACGTACTTACACATTTATATTTTTATTAATATTCTAAATAAATAGATACAGTTCAACGAATTTATAGAGTTAGAGCTATAATAATTAAATGCCGGCTATGTTATTGTTGGGGTAAATACTAAGTACAGTACTTGGAACTAACCGCATCAAGAACTTTGTCGACTCAGAATATCGATAATTTCTAGTTTTCAAATTTATTTTTTACTTTGATCTGCATTGATGCCAAATTTCAAGTTTCTAAGTAACCTAGCAGTGGCTTAAATTTTTGATCAGCGATTTAGAGAGAGATAAAAATGGCTGTTTACAGATCTTAATAGCTCAAAACTATAATAGTTTTATTCATGAAATTTGGAATTCTAGGTATTCACGGAGTTCTTATTATATATGCAATTATAAGTATGCAGATCTAATAGTTTTTGAATTACGAGGGGTTCAAAAGTCGATTCGTGTGAACACACTGCCGGTGTATCGCCCATTTCTTTTCCTAACTTGTCTAATACATTGCTATTTGTCTCTCTTACGAATGATAAACCAAAAATATATAAGTATATTTGATAAATATTCTGAAATATTTAATTCTTATACATTAAAAGATAAATAATTGAGGTATTGAATAAAAGCAACTTTACGATTTTACGCATTTAATTTTAACTTAAATTTTAGTTATCAGTCTATTAAATTAAAAGTTTTAATCAATGATCTTTTGTATTTTTTTACAAATTGAGTAACAAGAAGAGGAAACCAAAAAAACCTTTAAAACGTTAAATTTAGTTTTCTTTCTTAATTATATTTTGTGTAACATTCATAATCATAAACACCATCATCTAAAAATATTGATAAAAATATTTAAAAAACTGACTTGATTTCCATCATTAAATGATTTCAAAGATACGAAATCGTATCTCCTTCTTTTGTTTACAATATACTGCAAATGGGAATTTGATAACAGGTCTTTAAAAAATGTTTACGATGAAAGTAACCAATGTTCTTCACTGTGTCGCTCGTTCACAATATCGCTGGCCATCTCTTTGCCAAACTTCATTACAATAGGTTCAAAAGTTTTTTCGTGATTAGGTAATAAACAGACAGACAGTTAATTTCGCATATATATTGTCAAAGAGTTGATTTTTTCCTAAAAAAAGAGTAAATTAGTTAAGACCTACCCTTCCTCACATCTCTATGAGTGTTTTAGGGCTAATAAATGTCCGCCATGCGCTTCCGAATGCATGCTAGGAGACTTTAAATGTCTTCGAAATTTTTTTTTTTGATTTTTCAGACATGCACGTTTGTACCATATTATCTTTCACTATTCAGCTGCCCCAAAATACAGTTGCGTAGTCACCCCGCAGCGATAAGGTGCCTCGTATACAGTAAAAAGGCTCTCCGATTTTCTACACTTACCATACGAAACACAGCAGCATTAAGCTGATATTTTACTCTGGTATTTTGTGATCTTATAGTTTCCGATAAATAGCGATTTTCATCCATCATTTAAAATGCACAGACCGGCGATGGGCCTTTTTTATAGAATAAGGGTGACAAACAAGCACACAGTCCACCTGATGGTAAGTGCTTACTATGACTCATAGACATCTACATCTATCCTCAATAAATAATCAAGATGCAGATGCGTTGTCACCCGTGAGGACTAAGATGCAATGCCTCTTTGCCAGTAAAAAGGGTCTCCGGTTCTCTACACTCACCATACGAAACACAGCAGTATTAAGCTGCTATTTTACGCTGGTATTCTGTGAGAGCGTGGTTTTTCCCCGGTCGAGCCGACCCCATTCGTGCTACAACCATAATATAGCTGCAGCATGGCTCTACCACGTATAAATCCTATAGCTAGGCCTATGAAATGTAGTGTTTTAAAAACTCGAAAATTATTTATAATTTAATAATTTGTAAATATAACGAAATAATATATGTATATATAAATATATAAGGTTGCCGTTGACAATAAACTCAATATAATAAGCATTATTTTGATTCATTATTGTTATCGTACACAATATATGACATTAAGGGATTAATGGTACTTATTTATTGGTAAAAAAAAGTTTTCAAGAAAGGAACTGCTTGACTTGCGGGGCTTATCTGTTGGTTTTCTTCATTTCATTTCTGGATGTCAAATTAAAATAGTTTGTTACAGAAAGGCATTATTTTCATACATTAGACATTAGCAGCATACATACAGCAAAATTGACTATTAGAGATCAAATTTTATTTTGATATTTCAATTATCGTTTACCTATGTACATAGAACCTCTATAATTAATATAAGGTATATTCACATTTTAAAAAGTAGTTTATTATAATAATAAGTTTATTATTATTAATTTAATATATAAATTTATATTATTTTTCAGTATATTCTATAATAATTTATAAAAGTCCATTTTTGTCGAAGGGATTGAACTGTTATATACTCTAACTGTTCTAAAATACTGTCTGTTATCGGTTCATTATTTTGAAATCACGAAATGAACAATTATTTATCACCATATTATATTACGACTCAATTAAGCTACAAAAAGTTTTAGATTATATATTTTCGTATATAATATATCATTACTAATGATGTGTCTGAATGCTTAGTGAAAATTGTTTGTTATTTATTATTAGCCTGAAATGTTCGACTGCAGGGCAAAGGCTTCTCTACTCTTTCCACTTCTATCTTTCCAGAGCCACCATAGACCAGTTTTTCATGAAGATGTCCAGTTCATCCCGCCATTCCCGCCTGGGTCTGACTCGCTGACATTTGCCTTTTATAGGTACCCATTTTCTTGTCACTTTGAACCATTAGTCATTTGCCATTTGGCAGATATGTCCAGCCCAGTACCCAATTTTAGCGTAGCAGCTTATCGTGTAACATCAGCAATTTTCGATCTGGAACGGATTTTGATATTCCTAATCCAGCCTACAAGTTTAATGCCCAAAATACTCCGTTCAATTGATCTTTGACAAGCCTTAAGTATGAACCTCTGCTGGACCGTCAAAGACCATGTCTGGCACACGTCCATAAATCTAATTTTCAGGGATAGATGAAGATCACTCTTCGTAATATGTCTCTTCCGGGCGTGAAAATAATGCATAAAAATATTAACAACTTTTGTATTGAATTGACTAAACGATGGCTTTTTCTATTTTACTTAATTATGATTTTAAGTATATAAGTGATCTTTTCAAAAAGTATTGACCTATTTCGATATTAAGCTATTTGAATGATACTATTCTCATTGTATATAAAAATCAGACCGAAAATTTATTATTTAAATGTCTTTAATTTAATTGTAATAATTTAGGCTCTCCCAAGAATCACCACCTGTATCATCGATATCCTGAATTATTTAGCAAGTATTTACTTAAATGTAGGATTATATCCCTATGTTATTTATTATAGCGTACAAGATTTTATTACTAATGTAGCTATATCAAGTCTTTTTTTTTACTACGATTCTTCACTATAGCGTCAAATTATTTAAATTTTATTGCAGTTCACCGTCTTAAGTGGGTGGTTCTATGAATGATATAAAAGCCTGCGCGGATTTTTTCATCCGCATTCGAACTAGTTCAACCAAGCTAGGCAATCAAAAAAATTAAAATGAGATTAGCCGTAAGTAAAGATTAACAAATTTAAAGCTTTACATTTATAAACACTTAATAAAACTGCTGTAATAACTATTTGTATTCATAGGTGGTCGTGATTGCCTGCGTATTGGCGACTGCCTACGCCCAAACTACCGCAAGGGCATTCAGCAATTTCGGGTTCAATCAACCAGGACAATACAACCCCTACTCCAATCGTTATCAGAACCGCTACCAAAACCAATACCAGAACCCGTTCCAGAACCAGTACCAGAATCAGTACCAGAACCAGTTCCGCAATCCTTACCAGAACTACAAACCTTTCGTCTCATCCACTACAGCTGCTCCCAGACGTCCAGTTGAGTCAGTAACTGTTACACCCGCTCCCGTTGTTTCTTCTACAGCTGCTCCAGCTGCTCCCTCTCCATCCCCTGTATCTTTCGCCCCAGTAGTTGCCAACAGGGCTGTATCCGACTCGCGATATGCTAACATCCTCAAATACGGCAATGAGATCAACCCTGACGGTTCTTTCAGCTACTAGTAAGTGTAACATTTTATGACCTTTTGACTTTATCTTTCATAGAATCTCTTTGTAAAACAGTATTTAAAATTAATTATGTTTATTTATTAAAGCTACGAGACCGACAATGGCATCGCGGCCCAGGCACAAGGAACACCTCGTAACTTCGGTGGCAACCCACCCGTGATTCCCGATGTTATTGAGGGCTCCTTCTCATGGGTTTCTCCCGAAGGTCAACCGATCGGTATCTCATACGTAGCTGATGAGAACGGATATCAGCCTAAGGTGAGTTAATAACATTTTGTAACTGTTCATATTGTAATATGTATGCAAAGATTCAGTCATATTCGACATATAATCATACTTTATATGCAATGTATTATGATGTGATTATCATTATTGGAAATTGATTTGCAATTTAAAATACACTGATAAATTTTGTAAATTCCTTTATCATCTTTCAGGGTGATGCCATCCCCCAGCCACCTGAAATTCCTCCCCAGATTGCTCGCGCTCTGGACTACATCGCCAAATACGGCCCACAAAATTAAAAATAAAGTTAGCGTTCTCAAGAATCTCATTAAACACAACAAATTTTTTAAAGAAATAGTATTAAAGTATTGATTGTGTAATTAATATTAAATACATTGTGATATATTTATAAAAACGTATAACTGCAATACAAAAATGTACCTTTATAAAACAAGAAATTAAACAATTTATAGATAATTATAGAATATTTATTTTTAATATTTCATTTGATAATTTTTTAATCTAGATTCATTGAATCGTCATAAGACAGACTTAACATTCCTCTTACCTATCCTTACTTTACGAACAACGCCTATATTCAACTAGGGGTATTGATTTAAGCATTACATTCAATAGTTGGGCAAAGGCAATATACATATTTCATTATTATGTACTTACGCTAGGTATAGAATAACCATTTTACTTCAGTTTTTGCATATACTTAAAAATAGCACGATCTTAGCTAGTTTTTTATACACGAAAACAAAATAAAAACAAAAATAAAGAAATTATTCGTCTAAATAAGTTGTACAATGAGCGTCCTTATCGCTATAAGTGATCTCTTCCAGGCAACCTTTGGATGGACATAAACTACACAAGAAGACGGTGTTGTAGCTATATAAAAAATTAAAACAATGAGTCACATATTATATTTCACACACATACTTAATAAATTATCTTACATACAATATACAATTTAATAATTTAATATATCCATACAGCATACACTTACATAATAAATATGAATAAATTTAAAATAAACATAATATATAATAATTAAGACAACTTAGATAGCAATGAGAGAAAGTGTTCAGTAAGTAAGGATATAAAAATTAGTAGGGAGCTGAATGGTTTCACAGGAGTGCAAGAATCGGGGATAGGAGAACTCAAAACGCGTTTCTTTATGTAAATTGGGTTAGAAGGAATAAAAAGGATGCTATAGAGGAGAAAAAGGGTGCGTGCTTTCCGGCGAAGGCGAATAGGTAACCACTTAAAAGTGATATGAACTCTGTAAACACTAGGAACAAACACAAGCTACTGATACCAGTTTCTCGACTCCACATATTTAGTAATTCATTCTTGGGGCAATGTATACGCTATTGCAACAAAGTTCCAGAAAATATACAAGGTCTCTCTATTAAAAAGTTTAAATATTTTACTAAACAAAACTGTATAAAAAGTTTTATTATAATATAAATGAATACCTGGTTGATAGTAACCCCTAGGAATGAGATGGTCGCTTCCAAGTTGTTTCTAAAATAAATTTTGTTAATAGTTTTGTAATACTTACAACCGTTCATGTAAAATTTACTTTAAAAAAGTCAAACTGGGTTTCTTGCTGGTTCTTCCCAGGTCGGAGATTTTTTTACCGAACCGAAGAATTACATATAGTGATCTTTATTGAATAATAATTATTATATTCTATTCTATTCTACGTGTTTGTATTCGTATTCGGTAACGTAATCACATTTGCGTAGACCAAATATGAAACGGATGGAGGAATTTTGAAGCTGCATAGGCTTGTTAAGTTTTCAGTTAGGTCGAGATAGCTGGCATCGGCATAAGCAAGCCCATTCCCAAGAATGGGCTTGCTTTGCACCAATACAAAAGTTCTTATACGAGCTCAATTTTAGTTGTTAGGAAGTTTCGTCGCAACCGTTTCAAAGAAGCAACTGCCACAAAGGTTTTTTATTACCTCTGCCAGTTGAGGTCCCCACGATAGCTGCAACTTGGGGAAATTAATATTTATAGAAATTAAAAATTCAAATGTGTGCCTGTCAACAAAAAATCGAATGAGTTCGATAACGTAGTAATGGTTGAAATATTTAAATTAATCGTTATAACTGCATATACGAAACTAATTTAAAGGTCAATTCAGAAATTATGTTACCCTTTTTTTTGATACAGAATTTATTTTATTTTAAAACCTTGACACGCGTGACTAGTTGAACATCATTAATAGAGAGTCATTATTCTTAATATGATCCATTTTTGTTTTTGTTTGAAAATTTAGATTTTGTGTAAATTGACTGACTAGGCCGTAGATGTGTGCGAAAGCGTTCTTAACTACCATATTTCCCGCACATCCACCATATTTCTGCAAGTAATTGTTGTATCATTCGTTCACTCATTTCATTTCATTCATTTTCTTGGCCATAGGCTGGGCATGCATCGATAATAAATAACCTTCAGATTTTAGTCAGTGCGAGTTCAACATAACATTTTTTAACGAGATAGTTAAAAAAGAAAAATATGAGAATGTATCTTCTCCAAATGTCACGGTGAACTAAATACACTAATCTTATACGTTGATGATAATAAAAAGCATCTGCAGTGCAATGTGTGTAAAAATGTACTCATCTGTAATCCTGGAATATTTTCTGTGTTTTGAATCTTTTTCTGTGATATTAAATTATGAATTCAACAAAAAGCATAATCAAATATGTATATACCTAGTCGGGTCATAAGTATGTTCACACATTAAAACTTTTCTTTTAGAATGCTGGCCACAAAAAAGTTTATTGAATTCAAATTTCGAATTGTTCATGAAAATAAAACTGTATACTTTTTAGAATTTTACTAATTTTTAAATATGGAGTGGACGCTTAAAGAAGGCCGTGTTGCAGTTATTGCGTTGCATCGTTGCGGTTACGCGCCAATTCAAATTTTTGACATACTGAAAAATTTGAATATAACCAAAAATTTCTTTTTGTCGTACCATCAAACGATACAACGAAGACTCTAGTGTAGATGACAGGTCAAGAAGTGGTTGCCCTCGGTCTGTTAGGACTCCAGCAGTGATAAAAGCTGTGAAGGCGCGAATTCAAAGAAATCCCAAACGTAAGCAGAAACTGTCGGCCCTTCAGATGGGGTTAAGCAGAACCACGGTGAAAAGGGTGTTAAATGAAGACTGAAAAAATTTTTACCGTAGAAGAGAGCTACAACAATAAAAATGATAAGGTGTACGCACACAGTAGTGAAGAAGCGAGCAACCGTATTCCGCGTGTCCAACGAGGTCATTTTCCATCCTCGCTCATGGTATGGTTGGGAGTTTCTTATTGGGGCTTAACAGAGGTGCATTTTTGTGAGAAAGGTGTAAAAACTAATGCAGTTGTGTGTCAAAATACAATCCTGACGAACCTTGTGGAACCTGTTTCTCATACCATGTTCAATAACAGGCACTGGGTATTCCAACAAGATTCGGCGCCAGCTCATAGAGCGAAGAGCACACAAGACTGGCTGGCGGCGCGTGAAATCGACTTCATCCGGCACGAAGACTGGCCCTCCTCCAGTCCAGATTTGAATCCGCTAGATTACAAGATATGGCAACACTTGGAGGAAAAGGCGTGCTCAAAGCCTCATCCCAATTTGGAGTCACTCAAGACATCCTTGATTAAGGCAGCCGCCGATATTGACATGGACCTCGTTCGTGCTGCGATAGACGACTGGCCGCGCAGATTGAAGGCCTGTATTCAAAATCACGGAGGTCATTTTGAATAAACTTTAGTGTTATAAGAATTTATGTTTTGTTAAGTTCATTTTGGTATATAAATGGTTACATAATGAATAAACTTGTTTCAATTATTTTATATTAAACATGTGACAGAATTTATGACCTGACTAGGTATATCAATCGAATTTTCGCCGAGTACTATGGCCATAATACAGGTTTCAAATTTGTCTTTTTAGAGGGTTTTGTACCCGAAGGTAACCAACGGGACCCTATTACTAAACCTTCGCTGTCCGTCCGTCCGTCCGTCCGTCCGTCTGTCTGTCAATGGGCTGTGTCTCATGATCCGTAATAGGTAGACAGTTGAAATTTTTACAGAATGTGTATTTATGTTGCCGATATAACAACTAATAATAAAAATAAATTAAAAGTAAAAGGGGGCTTTTGCACATAAAAACAAAATGAATTAATTTGGTTGATTTTCCTATTTTACCAATGCAGGTGTAGCAGTTGAATGTGTGTCATGTTCAGTTCATTCACTTACATAACGGCCAACATGAAAATTCTTATGGGCTGAGCTCAAGTTTCGTTTCTTTAATTAAATATATATTAATCACTTCCTCTGTTAATATACTTCCATAGATTTTTGATACATAAATGACTTTTTTAACATTTATTTAAACTAGTGTTTGTCAATTAATTTTTTTTTTTTTAAGTTTGTATTAATACACGCTGTATATTAAGTAAGCTGTATTTCACTTTAAATTGCACCTTAATATATAAAACAAAGGTATTTAATATGTATTTACAAAATATAAAACAAATGATCTTTGTCGCCTTGACATATACTACATAGACTAGTGAAAAAGGAACATTTGAAATCACAGCTCTAAAGTAAATCTGTTAGGAATAATTTGTGACCAACATTTTAAAATTCTTTGGTAACAAACATAATCTTATGTATAGTCCAGTCGTTTAAGCCAAAAAAGATGGTCAACCTCGGAATTAGATATAATAAGCCGTAAACTTCTATAAATCTTTATTTTGGCATTCTAAATGTCCCAAAAGTCTCATAAAATATCGTGTCTTAAGATATTCAAGGTCAAAGGTTACAAAAATATGTTTTTTGCAAATATATCGCTTCCTATAGTTTTAATCCTATTTGCATTTATCGTGAAAATTGTAGAGAATAAGATTCTCAACTTTTGTTCAAAACATTTTGATACACTTAACCTTTTTTAAGAACGCGCATCGCTTAGCTATTCACATCATAATGCAAGGTCAACCGTAAGCCCCGGTAAAAATTACGCCGTATAAAGTCTATAAATCTATAAAAAATATATAATTATGAATAGCAGACCACTGCTGAACATAAGTTTCAATAAAACCGCATTGTTATAGCTATTGTTATTGATAATTTTTTTCGCCAGACAGCATGTTATTATGATGCTGTAAGTATAAGGGCAAGCACGAACAACGATTACGTCTTACTCTAACCGTATCTAAGGTATCGCTTATGTGATGAGATTGGAAAAATATGATGTATGAATGTGAAACATTTTTGGGTTG